GTTGAAATGTAAAAAAAAAAAAAAGAATCTCTGTAATCATAGCCTCTGCCTTTCTCTGATCTTTCAGATTGTCTAAACATAAGGATAAAGTGATCGTTTGAACAAGCTTAAATCAGTGGCTGTAATATTTTGCCCGCAGCAGTCCTCAGCCTGACCCCGCACTTCTACAACACTGCTGATTAGGAGCAGACTGAACATCTCTGTACTAACCATTTCTTCGATACACATGATCTTCAACATTGATGCAGCAATAATGTGGACTGCAGCCTAATCCTCAAATTCAATTAGAATCCTTTTTATTTTGTTGTGTAGAAAAATACAACAGCAAGGTGTGACAAATTTCCAGACAGCTATAATTATAAAAAACGTATTCTTTGATTCCTATAAGAATATGAGCAGACAGAGTAGGTAACACGGTCAAATGACCCCTGGATGGGAAATGGATGAGCGCAGTGACCTGAGCTGACAAACACACTGGCCGCATTGAAGCAAGGACAAATCTTCAAAAAGGATAAAAAGTCACTCAATTATTGTCACTATACAAGGAATAACATTTGCAGTAAGAGTGGCTCCAAATTTAAAGGGGACATATCATGAAAAATCCACTTTTTGTGTCTTAAATGCCTTATGTTGTGTAGTTGGAGCCTCTAGAAGTGCAAAAAAGTTGAAATCAGTCTCTTCATGGGTTGCAGAGAACACTTCATATTCTGTTTAGGGAAGATTTTTCAACCCGTTCTGATTTTGCCATTCTCTATTACGTGTTTAGAATTATTACGTCACAGTATTTGCCGCGAGACTGCCATATAAGGGCATGGGCGTCTAACAAAACACTTCGGCCCAGCCCTCCTCTACTGTGCATCACTTAATTTGTAGTCCAAGCTCAAGGATGCCAGCGCACAGGGCTGGACTGGCCATCGGGCGTACCGGGCAATGCCCAAAGGGCTGATGCCCATATTTGGACCGGTCTGTCTGCCTCATACAAAACACATGTTTATGAGAAGTGTAAATCCGTTGAGAATTGTTGGAGCGGGGCGCGCGTATCCGCGGGGCACCTGCTGTATGTACTCGAACGGGATTCCGCCACCTCAGCGGCCGCAGTGTTCCGGGGCATCTGCGGCCGCTTTGTAATGAGCAGCTGCCGCGTCCAGCCGGCTGCGAGAGGCTGTGAGCGTCCAGCCGCTCGCAGCCGCTCCACCGTGTTGTGGCTGAGCGCGCAGCCTCAACGTGGCCATGTACCCAACCCCATAAACGCGCACAGGACCATGCGTGTCTTTGAGTAATCTGTGCACCCAATAAATACACTGCTGCAGGAAACAGTCCGCGTCTCCCCTCTCCTCTCGAAGCGCGATTAAACCTGATACCTACATTTTGCATTGAATAAAAAGTTCATGTTTGAGCCCAAAAGTAATATGTTGTGAACAAATTAAACAGATTTAGAGCCAGCAAATGGCTGACAATATGCATTTCAGTCTTTTTTGACCAATTCTCATCCCTGTAACAAACAATAGTGTTGTCTGTGTCCACCTCCCTCACTCTGAGACATGTTTATTACTCTCTTGTAATGTAGACTATTGAACTTTATTTTATTGTTGAAACTGCACATATCCTGATCCTCTACAGTATTTGCTTCCACATACTGTATAAACTAGGAGTCGGCAACCTGCGGCTCCGGAGGTGCATGCATCTTTTTCCTTCTGTAGAAGGAAAAACGTTCTTAACGTTTTTAAATGCTGTAAAATTGTGCATAAGTAATATTCAATTTAAACATTTCTGTCAACGTAGTGTGTCATATCCTGCGACGTAGGCCAGTGCCAGGCGGCCGCTGTTGTAAACAAACCGGCGTGTGAGCTCTGCTTGTGTACAAGTCTCTCCATGGCCTCGCTCCAAAATATATTAGTGACATGTTAGTACCATACGAACCAGCCCGGACTCTGAGGAGCACAGGGACTGGACTCCTGCTGGGACTCTGAGGAGCACAGGGACTGGACTCCTGCTGGGACTCTGAGGAGCACAGGGACTGGACTCCTGCTGGGACTCTGAGGAGCACAGGGACTGGACTCCTGTTAGTGCCCAGAGTCAGGACTAAACATGGGGAGGCTGCTTTTCAGATTCATGCTGCTAAAATCTGGAACAATCTTCCTGAAGATGTGAGACAGGCCTCCTCTCTGACAATGTTTAAAACCAGGTTAAAAACTGTTCTGTTTAGCTGTGCTACAACTGAGGGATTTTATATTTTTATCTTTCTTTTTAATGTTCTGTGATTATTTATGATTTTAAAGCTTTCTTTGTTCAGCACTTTGAATTGCCTTGTGTATGAATTGTGCTATATAAATAAACTTGCCTTTCCTTGCCTTGACTGTGCGCATGGATCTCAAAGCTAAAAAGAGAAGAGTCGATAATAAGACTGGACTAAGAATGAAAATTAACATTTGCTTTCAGTCAATGAGGAAGGACTGCTTCGTGTTTGTGATGTAATGAGAAGTTTCTATGAGATAATTGTATCTGTGAACTACGAAAATGGCCGCTCGGGGTGGAGTTGAACCTGTGTCACCTGGATGGGGGCGTGGTCAAAAGCGCCTCATTTGCATTTAAAGAGACAGCACCAAAACAGGTTGGTCTCAGACGCACCTCAGAACAGGTGTAGAAGAAAGGCCCGTGGAGCTACAAATAATGAGACTCAGACCCAGGCATTGCAGTTACGCTTTATATAGGCCACAAATTAATGATTTAGATGTAAAAATCAATTATTTGAAAACACGATATGTCCACTTTAAATTTGAGCATAACCACCACAAGCTTGAAGGTAACTTTGGATACAATTAGGTTTGCCACCATGTGCTTAAGCCAACTGTAAATTGAACAATATTGTAGTATAATGGGAATTTGATTACTTTGAACTGTGAAATATAACAATATATACTTCGCAACACAAATGCCATCAGGTGAAAAGGGATCCAGATTTGCACATGTTTGATTCATTCAATTCAGAACCATATTATTTATTATTTTAAATCTGCACTTACTCACTTTGAGACATTTTCAAATTTGAGAGCTGGGCTTGCTCTCTCTGCTCCCCTCCCGCACTCACGGAGTTTTCGCCTCCCACTACCCCCCTACCCCCTCCGCCGCACATCTTCTGTTTACGGAGCTCGCGTCTCACAATATGGATCGCACATTTGACCGTGGATGGCTTGACCATAGAATGATAGAATCGGGAAGCGCGGAAAGGACGAGATTTTCTTTTGGATGGCTGTTTTGCTGTGTAAGCAGTAACCGGTAACGATGACACAGGATGTTTCAGGTTAGCCTCCGCCGCTTGTTTACCTCAGCTCTCTGTGCTAGAGAGAGACTTGTAGATTTTCCCCAGAAAGTGGGGGCCAGTGGTCCGCTGTGATAGGGTTGGGCGATATTTTTTTTGTACCGGTATACCGGTATAAGTAAATTAAATGATAAGAAAATGCCTTATACCGGTGAAAACGATCATTTAACACTGAAAACAGCGAGCGGAAGACACGTTTGTGTGCGGCGCACTTTGATGACGCATCTGCGCGGCACGTGTAGCAGAGCGGCGTGCAGGGACAACAACAACAGAGCAGAGAGCAAACATGGGTGAGGGCGGCGGTGAAGACCATGGTGAAGACATGCAGATTGTAGAAGACATTGTGCCAAAACGCGGAGCTACCTCAAACATATGGGAGTAGTTTGGGAACTAGATAAAAAGAAGCAATTGTGTGTAACTATCAACAGTGGATCTAATGTTGTGAAAACAGCTGCCCTAAACAACTGGACTCGAGTGGCTTGCTTCGGACACTCGCTCTCTCTATCTCTCTCTCTCTCATAGTGCCATTGGTAAGCTTTATTTACTGTTTACTGTCATTCATTTTACTTCAATGCATGTGTTTGTCTACATTGCAATATAATTACAAATAAGTTATAATTACATAATTATAGAAACGCAAAAGGATACAAAAAATATATACAGTATTTGATCATTTTGACTATATTGGGATTAGGAAACATAAGCCAAAGTGATCAAATAATTATTTGATAATGCTACACTTTTTATATTACAAAGGACAAACGTTTATATATTTTACAAATTACAAATGTTCACCTTTATTACTTGTTGCCTGCAATTTTCAGTATGTACAAAACAGAATTCTCTACAATTCAGTTTTGTTAATACGTTTTATATACAATAGCTGTATTACACATTTTGCTGCCAATAAATCAGTAAATGCACTTTGAGGCAAGTGTGTTTAAAATTATCAGTGCTAAGTTTTTATAGCTTTTATATGAGGCTTTGTTAAAATTATCATATCGTCATATCGTGATACATACCAACAAAAATCGTGATACATGCTGAGGCCCATATCGCCCAACCCTACGCTGTGATTGGTCACAATCTGGTCCCGAAACAAATTGATTTTGAGGACCCCCTTAATAACGAGAGGATTCATCTCAAGGAGGTATTCCTCTTAATAAACGTTAATAAAAATAAAAACAATAATACAAATGATAATAATAATGATAATAATAATTACTGAAAATGGAGGACAGTGATTGTTGATATATACGTTTTCATGCTAGTTCAAATTCTGCCGTAACTAGATCCTGGCGCGGCTCCTGGAGAAAATGGTGGTGCACTGCCTGTAATCTGCCTCTGGAGGTTCCTGATTTCTGAGCAGTAACACTGAGATTTTATATCTCAACAAGCAAGCAGGACACCTTAAAAAAAATTGCACACAACCACATATTTTGAATGTCAAGGCATTTGTTAGTGACCAGACAGTCGCATCATTCTTGTCCAAGTCTAAACAATGGCCAAGAAACAACAATAGATAAGAGAGTCTTTAGAAACGAAGGCAAAGTGACCAGAAAGCAAAGTCTATATAGGAAAACTGGCTTTGACCGGCCACGCAGCGCACTGACAAGCACAGATCAGACAGAGCGGATGATGACTACTCAATATGCAATAGCCCGAGGAACGAAGAACGTACCTTCTTTGTCTGCTCGGAAGATGAAGGTTCGGAGGGCAGTAACCACCTCAAACTTGTTCTCCCCCAGCACACGCACCTGTCGGATTGCGCTGGCCAGGATCATGCCTTTGGAGTACATTTCCTACACACAGAAAGAAAAAGAAGAAATTATTTATATTGTCATGCTGAAAAAAAACACAACACAATCAGGTTGGTAGCTCAACAGCCAACCTGATTGTGAAACTAAATTGTAATACTAGGGTTGAAAGCGTATTTTATTTCACGGTAGAACTCATCAGGCCAGCCAGAACCAGGAATACAGCATTGAACATATACACAGGATTTACATCCTTTTTTAATTTTATATCATGGTGCCCAATGATACAAATCATTTGAATGCAATATTTGTATCGTTTTTTTTTTTTACATCTTTATCTCCTCCCAAAACCAATATCCTGATTATATTCAATTGCAAGAAAACGTCATATGAATACATGTCAGTCAATCTAAATAAATAAGGTTAGATATTTTCACGGATACACAGTCCTTAAAACAACGCTGTCAGGAGGACTCGTAAACAACTGTTCAAGCTATAAAAAAAAAAGTTTCCATTTTATTAAAGGCATGGTGCGCGGTGAGATTTGGACACAGAACAGGAAGTGCTTGTTTGGGTTCATTGGGGAATTGTGTTGTTTTAGTACCCACAAAGCAGTGCGCAAAAAAGGCATCCAAATAAGCAGCGCGTCGCATAGAGGCTGTGTGACCTTCTTACGCTCTCCCCCGACAATGGCAATTAAAAGTACTGGGTCATTTTGCGAAAGAGAAATAAAGGGCGCTAATAGCAATCCTACTTTGATTAAACTGCTTTTATGTAGTGGGTATGTGATATTGTATTTAAAGCTCAACTTATTATAGTATCATTGTATGTTTATACCTTTATCAATTCATTGAGGATTGGATGATTGTGAGGGTATGAGGAATGTTGGATACTGGATATGGAGAAAGCTAGTGGCTTGATTCTACCTCCGGACAGGGCCTTTTCTGTGTAGAGTTTGCATGTTCTCCTCATGTCTGCATAGGTTTCCTTCGAGTACTCCAGTTTCCCTTACCGCGAAAATCATATACAATAGGTCTGTATGGCTCTATGCAAAGATTACATACTTACAATAAAATAAGTATTCAAAACCAAAAGGTGAAGGAATTTAGAGTGAATTTTAAATGTGGCTTCATAATCTCAGGCTGTATTGTACTGCAAGCGACTGGGGAGAAAAGCAGTACATTATGCATCTGTGATGAGCTGGAAGTCACTGGGTTGTTAAAAAAACGTACATCGGAGCCAACATTACATTATTCATGACGATAATGTCATTATCATCGCAAAGTGTAAAAACAGACTTTCCTCTGTGTGGCTCAGCGTTGGACTTGACCTGAATTTTAATTGTGTGCTGTTGCAGGCACAATGCCACAGAGCTCTGTACAGTACCAACGCCTCTGTGCCTGACGATGAGGGGACGGAAAGTAGAAAATACAGAACAAAAAGATGAACTCATGACTTGCTATTGCCGTTTATAATTAAGCTACTGACCTTGCCAAGCCTCTTCCTAGAGACTATAGAGGGCCAAAAATACCAGGCAGTTATCAAGTGAGGGCAATTGTGTAATGGGAAAAAATGAAAAATTAGGTTTGTGTGAAAGGCCAAGGAGAGGACAGAGCGAGCAAAAAAGTAGAAGATGGTCCATTTCTACAATGGAAAGATACAGATGGACAAAGACTTCTAAAGCAGTGAGGTGGGGTCAGCGGGAGGGAGTTCCCATATTAAACATATTAAGTGTTCACAATTGCAGAAGTGTGCAGTCTAATTAGTGAGAGGCCGAGCTATGCGTTTCTCTCCCCGGGAGTCTTACACCAATATCTTTCTCTAAATTTAGACAGAAGTTAACAGAAGGTGAGGATGGTGAGCGGCTTGGGTGGATTGTGCCGGTGTGGAGATAATTATACCACCGCATGGGTAATTAATTGTTTTTGATTCTAGTTTGGGAGTTGAGTAGGAATAGGAGCAGTTTAATTGAGAGTTTGCATCTGTAAATACTGGGATGGAGAATAACACAACAGAACACATTTAAATAGAATATTTAAAGGAGAAGTCTGCATTTTCATTTATATTTCATTTTGAAAATAGATACGTTTGACCATATGATCCTATGACCATATGATTTTTAAAACAGTTGGCTCAATGGTGAGGGTCCTCAGCTGTCTACCAGGGATTTTAATGCATTGTGATCAATCAGGAAGCTGACCTGTTATGTGTACACGACTCCCTTTAGCAAAGTAAACCAACAACTTCCAGTATGATATCCGCGTGTAAGAATCACAATGGTAAAATTGTAGTGTGTGTTAATTTTTGTCTATTGTTGATAACAGAACATGTGCAATAGGATATAAAATATTCCTTAAAGATAAATATTATCATATCTGGCATATGATTATATTTCTGCACATTTGCAGTCAATTGTATTCGTATACAGGGGCTTGCAAAAGTGCTTCTTCAAATTTAACTGGGACAGAGAAAAAGTGGAAAAAAGTTTAGTTTTTTTTTTTTTTAGACCACTGCAACTGAAAAAAATACAAAAAAAAGTCCCTCATTGCCGCTGAATGCTCACATCTTTCCCTAACAGTTAAATAGAGCTCACCTGAGTGTAACCTACCCTCAGTATAATTACAGCTGTGCTGTGGTGTACTTTTTCAAACCACTGTATTTATTGTGGTCAACAAATACTTTGTGATTAGTATTTCAATATTATTAATGGACAAAATGTAAAAATAGTGAACATAAAACTTATAGCTAAATGACAAAACCTAATTGTAATGGCCTCTTGTACAGTACACTTATATTTTATCAACCAAAGTTGAAAATGCTTTTGCTATGTACATTAAAAACAAAGATTATATATCCCTTACTGGTTAATGTAAATTACCTTGTTTACATGTTCTGTTGCTCGCAGCTCTGCAACTGAAACATGTTAACAAGGTAACTACATAGTTGTCTATTTTTAAGGACCTTAGCAATGGAAAGTCACGTATAAGTATGGCTCTATGAATCCCAAATTACTACTGAAAGCATTGAATGATTCCCCGCCCATTGGCTCAAGGACTTATTCAATGCTTACAGTGTCACCTGTCCACCAGAGGGTGGTCACCGCCATGGTGGTCTTCCAGTACAGTAAGACCCTCTGACAGCTACAGAATGGTCTCAAGAGGTTTCATAGAATCAACCAGGTCTATAAACAGCTTTTTTTCTGCAATAAGCAGAACATCTCGGGTCGCCTTGTCAACATCTTTACTAATTCATCCCCCTTCAGCCCACTCAACCACATCAGTCCAAACCACCCCTCTGTCAATGTATAATTTCTACATCGCTGTATGCGACTAAACTGTCCCTCATTTGGTTTCAAAAGCATGCCAGTAAAACTCAGGAAACAATTAAGTCAACGCAATGGAGCTAAAGCCTACAATAATACAGGAGTTGTGTGGAGAGTGAGCAGGGAGGAGGGTGGAACTACAGTAACAGCAGGGTGTGAAGAGTCAGCTTTCAATGGAGGTACAAGGACACCAAGTGGCAATAATCAGAACTGCAGTTAAACCAAAAGGCATTCACAATGGCATTGTTGTAATACCGTAAGGGCTTCAAAGAAAGTGTTTAATATAAAAAAGGAGCAAGGGTAAGCACAGAAATGAGTTAGGGAAAGGCTAAACTGAAGAAACACATTTTCATCAAAACTGGGATGAAAGCTGAATAGAATCTCAGGCATAAATGTAAGCATGGACAGGTACATTATCACTGTGCTGATATGAAACTATTTGCAAATGAAGGCATACAATATTTATGCAGTGAATTGTAGAATTTAAATTGAAAGCCACCTTTATAATAAATATAAAATGATGTTGGAAAGATCCAACTTTGAAACAAGTTAAACAAAATGATTGAAGGTTTTAAGATGTGTTCAAAATGCCACTCTCTGGTGCTACAGTAAGGATCAGTGGGACCCATGGGAAACAGGCAGAGGCCATAAGCACTGTGGCTTTCCGGCTCAGGCTGGAAAGAGCTTTCCAGTGGTATACAGACACAAAAGCAGACAATCAGACAGACGGATGGATGCACTGAAGACTGATCCCACAACCTAAAACCTCATCTTCTCTTTGGCCTGCACCTCTCCCCTCCCCACTATCTCATCTCTTCATCCCAGCGAGACTTCTTCAACCTCTGGACCAGCTCCGGACTGTTTTTCACAAACACACACACACCCATGACACCCAGAGGAGCAGATCCTAGAGCGGAGAGCGTCTCCACAGTCAAAGCCTGCGTTGACGAAATCAGGAGAAAGGGGAGATTGATGAGCCGGAGTGGATTGAGCCGTACGAAAGACACAAGTGAGACAGGAGATCAGGCTACTCTCCCACGCCACCTCCACTGCCCCCCGATGACATCACCGCGGACATGGACCTTCACACTGGGATAGCGATTAAGTGTGATTAGGATTTTCTGTGACTGACAGAGCCGTTGGGAGTTTAGGCTGTTGAAGAGATTTGGGGGGGAGCCTAAAGTTAAAGGAACAGAACAAGGGGTTTCTACGGATGAATTATCAATGGCATGTTCCCATAGGAGTGGGCAAAATGACAAAAAAGAAACAAAAAGTAGTCATGCTTTAAGCGATTACATTGACAAAGTCAATTAAATGGCTTTCAACAATTCTCTATACAGAAAACAAAAAACTTTAGACTATCAAACTTTAGAATAGACCCACAAGAGTCCATTAAACAATTATACCAAACTGCGAACATATCTGAGTTCACATCATCATTACATTATACTGTTAGTTGGCAACCCCAGAAAAATAAATAAAAAGGGTCTCAATGAAAGTACAATGGTATAAAAACATCACAAAAGTAGCAATATCAAAAGGAGAAATGCAATTTAGAGCAGGTAGAAAGGACCGCATGTACTCTTGGGTGAAATAAATGGTTCTTCTTCGTAAATAAACAAGCCACAGAGAGAACATGTACTGTAATACACCCATTGTGGTGTATCTCCCAAAAAATAGAAGCATTGCACTGTATCCACGAAAGTGTGAGATTATGTGAAGGAGGCAGGCCTCAGCTGGCCACACAAAGCATGGCTGACAGAAAGATTGTGCTCGACCTCTCCACTCACCCAAAACATGATAAAGCTCTGTGCTTTCTCAAAGGGGAGAGTCACATTGTCTGAATGACTTCTAAAACTCCACACAACAGTCTATGTTACACACACACACTCACAACCCTAAACACGCACAAACTTTCATCTTTCCAAAAACTGCCATGCCTTCGCCGACAGTGACACAAAGTAAAAGTGCTGACTGGCTGGCCTCCCCGCGATCCCCCCTCTGCTGGCGTCAGTGCGTGTCCTGATAAATAAAGCAATACAAAAGAGAAAACGCAGAGAGAAGGGTAAAGAGAGAGAGAGAGAGAGAGAGAGAGAGCAGCGGGCTATAATTAGTAAGTGATTAACGAGCAGGCTTCAGACAGGTCCCACATCATTGATTGTGATGTTGTGCAGAGCTGCTGCAGCAGAAACACTGGCCCAGGGAGGGGGCATCCAGGTCAGCGTCCACAAACATTCTCAAAAACAGCGCCTATATCGCGGCCATTAGCGACCACACTGACAAAGGGGAAATTATGGCAGGTTAGCAGCTCAGAGAACATACAGAATTATAGCAACCACTGAATTTAGGAAAGGACACAGTCCAGAGTGGAAAAACAAAACATGGACTACGCAAAACAGGTCACGGTCATGTCCATAACAAGAAGGGGGCGTGAAGCTTTCAGTTGTCAAAAGCTTGGTGGGAATGGATTTAATTATAATCAATACTTTCAATACTTTCTTCACAATTTACCATTTGGCTCTCATTCTGTTATTTAGTTGAATTGGGACAATGCACATTAATAAACATTTCTGTATAAGTGCCAGTTATAGCTACTAGGATGTGTGAAATGTGCCTTGCTATAAACCTTTTCCTTGTTCAAATCACTAGATTCTTTACAACATAGTGTCCGTTAAACCAAGGCTAAAAATGACCCACAAGTGACACTTTGACACTTCTGCCTCACTCTATGATTGAGGAATGTTTCACAGAAATCTCTTTCAGTTAAATTATTTTGCCCACAGGGGATTTTATTGAATGCCCAAGTTTTACAATATCATCAAAACCAGACAAAACAGTATATGCATTGAAAATATGTTTTGGATCCTCCCACAAGGGATTGCAGATGGAAACTTGCCCTTTAACCATAATCTAGAGCAGACCTGTCTCTGTGTGTTATCCCTTCAAATAAAGACTAAACTTAACTTTAAACCACCTTAAAACAGACAATGTATTCAAAATACACCATAATGAAATCCAAAACTTGTGATCATTGCTAAGGCCAAAAGCTGTAATGTTTGCATCTTTATCCGCTTCCTTGCTGGTTCCGAGCTACCCTCCCTCCCCAGCCTGATGACGAGGCAGGCAACGCTAAGCGAAATTTTAAACTCAACTGTCAAAGCAAAGCAGAATGAAGAGGGGGAACATGTACAAGGAGAGAGGGAGAGTCAGAAGAGGGGATTTGCTGAGGCCGGCGAAAACGGCAGAGTCTTGCTTTTCGCTCACGGCTCTCTCGCTTGGTGCTGTGCCAACATCGACGTGCTTTAGTGTGCGGCTGGGCGGGCATGGCGAGCTGGCTTATGAAGCATGCAGTTATGTCGCTCTGTCCTTGCCCCGTTCTTTACACTGCCAGGCTAATGATGATGACAAAGGGAAGGAGGAGGGACCAAACACAACAGAAGACAGAGATCCGACCCCCCGAGAGTGAGTGTGAGAGTGTGTGAGAGTGTGTGAGAGTGTGTGCGAGCTTGTGTGTGTATAGGCTTTAGCTGAGAACATGCGATGAATACGGCTGCGAGTTGGCACATTTTGCGATTGAGAAGGAGCTGTAGAGCAGCGGCGTCAAATTCATTATTGTCTGGGGCCGATTTTGAAAATAAAAGCTGGTATTAAAAAGTGTTTTTTCACATAGGTTTGGAAATTCCTCTCTGGTAGATTTGTCTAAACAAAATTATTCCAGTTACTGATAGGGAACCAGAACTTGACCAAACAAGATGTACTGTACTTGACGACCAATAGTTGAGTATAAAAAATACATAGCTTCTATCTACGTTTTGGGTTAATATTTTAGAAGGAATGGAGCAAATAAGCATTGCAGTTTTCCACCAATAATCGTAAAATTACATATAACAATCAGTCGACACCATAAACCAATGAATGAAAACACAAATTACAGACCAATTTCCTTTTTATCTCAAATCCTTGAATCACAACCTACAAGACAATAATACACTTAAATATTGCAATCCGCTGTAAAGATTCATCTAATAGAGTTTTTTTCAACAATTGTGAATTGTGGCTAGACTATACTGTATATTGCAGAAAGAGCACACTTACTTTTTCATTGTTATAATAGGCCAGGGACTCGCCATCAAATCTCACCCATCTTCTTTGAAAAACATGTTTTCTGTGAAAGACAAGGACACAGTGTGTAACGTTTGGAGTGGTCAGGTCTTAAATGTCATGTTGAGAATAACTGCTTATCGTTTTTTTTTTTTTCGTTTTTTTCAGGAGTGCCACTTTCATTAGCGTCAAGAGTTGTACCAACATCTGACCATTAGCATAATCAAAACAAATGGCCACATTTGGGTTGAATATTAAATAGCTTAGGGCTTTCTGCCAACCCTATGCAAAATAGGCAGTGTAGGGGAAGTGTACAGAAGAATACGCAGACTGAACTCAATCAAGAATACGGAAGTTTAGCATCTGTCTGGTGAAAGTTGTTACAGAATTGAATGTTTCCTTATTGATCATTATTCAGAACAGATAAGAAGCTTTATCCCCACACAACTGTACTGTCCAAGATACGACCAGCGTCTGCATGTGTTGCTCCTCTCAAATAAAGAAGGAAAACTAATTTTTCGTACAGAGACTATGGCACAAGCAGCAGAAAGATCCAGTTTAGAAGCCGCAGTCAAATCTCTAATAGCTTTGTTGTTTGCATCTTTTTGCGTTTTTTTAAACAAGTATAAAATAGATATGTGTGTATAAAAGTAAGGACCTCTGCACAGGTCATTTGAGTACTAAATTTGTTTTTTGTTAAACAAGGATTAATTATAGATATGTATAGAATAGCCCAGGGAATGTTTTATGTGTTTTATCAGAATCAGAATCATTTTTATTGCCACGTAAGTAACAGGAGGTCACAGACTTGGAAATTGCTTTGGCTCAGTGCAACAGTCAGAAAGAGATAATAAAAATAAGAATAAAAAACACTTCTAAAGTGTTTTTTATTATGTTCAGAATATTGATACATACTGATTGATTGATTGGGGAAAACATGATGTTTCTCACAAAAGTGTACAATGACTAGATTTGTTTGACAAGATGGCCTCTTACCCCTGAGGTGACAGTTTGTCCAGCCAGCCATTCTTGGACACCTCATGTTTGGGCACCCCATAGAAACAAGCATATGGAGAGATTTCAGGCAGGTTCTTGCTCCTCTTTTGCGTGTCTGTGAGCTGAGAGTACAGATCACACTCCACCATGACCGCACCGTCGCCCTGAGGAGCAGAGGCACTGTCTGTGCTGCTTTCAGCCACACAGTGCTCTATACTGGGATGAGACAGTATGAGCGCACAGTCTTCTACTGTTGAATAGTCGTCCAGGTCAGGTTCAGTGCCAGAGGAAAGATCTTTTACCGTTGCCTCGTTTGGATTGGGGGATTTTTCCCTGTGTTAACACAAAAGTACTGTTATTAGCCATGATCAGACAGGAAACCCAAAGTACCTTTATAATATAGAACTGGAAAAAAAATAGATAAGGACACATTTACTGAAAATCTATTACTTCTTATTATACTTAAACAAAGTGAATACAAATTAAATGTGTTTCAGGAAACCCACTAAATAGGTATCTATAAGAAAACTTTATATGTCTTCCTGGTATGGACCTTTTACTCTTGTGTCCGAAATAAAGTATTGAATTGAACACATGATATGAAAGTGGGGTTCAAGGATGTTGGCAGGGTAGGGGGTTGGTGCCTCTCAGCTACACACTATCAGACCCACGGATCACCAAAATATTATTAATAAAACTCTGAATGTTATGTATAAATACATAAAATATATAAAGTTGTATCAAATGTAGATCACATTTTATCATCTAGAAAGTGCTTGTAATATAAAAATGCACAACGTTTGTTACAGAATGGTTGAACACTCCCAATGCGACAGACACACTCCAAACCATAGTGTAATTGCCCATTTAGTATATAACATGACTATATGATATTACATGATTGTTTTTGCTTGCAATGATCATGTACCTTGGTTTCTTGGGCTTTATCTTGTCTTTCAATCCCTCCCCGTCACCTTGGTCCTATCACAAAGAACAAAGATGAGCATCAGACAGTAAGTGTTAATCGAGTTTGTGCAGTAGACAATAACTTTGAAGACATTTCTATTAAACTAGCTGGGAATAAAATGTTATACATGTTGTAATGTTTTCATATAATGTGTTTATGGTTTTATGCAGATGCAAACAATACCAGCTGAAAACACAGCCTTGTAATTGTAAAGAAAGCCATTTCATCTGAGAAATTGCAGGGCGACGTATGTAATGCGCCCGAGTAGGACGTATTACATGACGTCACCTACATAACCCACCTCCCCCGCTGAATGGTCAGAGGGGATACAACCGAGGTAACCACAGCCACTAAGATCAGACCCAGACGTACATGTAGGGAAAAGATATTTGACCGGAGTTTACAGATGGCCAAGGCAAAAATCTATTTTTCATATTTAAAACCACGTTTAGAAACTCCATCATTTCCGAATCAATAACAGGCCTGGCATTGTTTTAGATACATCCACACTAATAATAGCAACTTCTGCCACAAACTT